AGACAGAGAGAACAACGCCTCTTAGACATCTTGGGAGCAAGCAGTCTAGGCTATTCTTCCATGCTATGAATTACCTTGGCAACTCGGACTTCCAGTCAGGTGTCTCTCAGTACCATACTCATAGGAAAGAGAAGTTTATTTAATTGACTTGGGCCAGTGATTTCTGGACAAGTCAGCTAATAGGAGCAAAGCATTAGTACAGACAAGGACATCGGGAAAATTGCTGTCAATCCTGCAGACATCCTAATTTTCATGTATTGCATTCCAGAATAACAGCTCTTTCTTAGAGAAAATATTTGTTGTCCATACTTCTACATCTCTGAGGGTCTCAGTTCTCCCCACTATTTTTCTCTAGCAAACTTTTTTTTTCTTTTTAGTACTGGGTATTGAACCCAGGGAAGTTTTGCCACTGAACTACAACCTCCATACTTTTTTTATTCTTTTATTTTGAGACAGGATCTTGCTCAGTTGCTTCAAGCCTCACTAATTTTCTGAGGTTGACCTCAAACTTGCAATCTTCCTGCCTCAGTCTCCCAAGTCTCTGGGATTATAAGCATACATCACCCCACCCAGTCTAGCAAACATGTTAAATACCTTTTTTCTTGTTCAAAACTGGAAATAAAAACTGTTGAAAAGTTTGTCTTTTTTTTTCTTTCAATCTTTGGAAAAACAAAGGAATAGACCAACTTGGAAAAGCCATCAGTTAAAATATTGGTATACAAGTAAAATAAGTAACATCCCTTACCACCTCCATTTTGGTTATTTATGAAGTAGTAATAATAAGATCTATGCTGTAGGATTCTTGTGAAGACAGAATATTTTATACAAAGAATCTCAAACTCAGTAGAAATGAACTATAATTATGCATGTACTTATGTATGTGCATATGTTATCTTTTTAGAGATGTAGTGACTCAAGCTGGTGATAAAGCTCAGTGGTAGAGTGCTTGCCTAGTATGCCTGAGGCCCTGGGTTTGCTCCCCAGTACCAAAAAATAATTTTTTTAAAATAAAGATCTATTGCCTAACTAAGAAATAGACCAGAAAGATCTCACCTCATCTGATTAACCTCAGTGGTTAAACATATGGGTTTTCAACAAACCCACCATCCTTCATACTGTAGATCAGATCAGTATTTGTGGTAGCCAAAGGTCCTAAGCTTTTGCTTAGGTATCAGATGGGTTAGAACCTTTTTTCATCTATCTTTCTGGAAACATTGGCCCACTCAAGGTTCTCTTCTGCACCCTTGGCCCCCTCTCTTCTTCTATGGCTGGTACCCAAACATCCACAATGACTGAGCAAATTACTTTCTGCAGAATCTCATCTGAGGGCATTCTACAAACTCAAGGGAAGCTACCCACCTGGCAGAGGTGCTCTGACTGTGGAAAATTACTGATCCACACTGAACTACACAAAAACCATTCGTAAAAGTCCTAAGAAGAGCAAACACTTCCCCTGGCAAGTTTTCCAGAAGGGTCCTTGGCTGGCAGAAGCAACCACCCTCACTAGGCACCAACCAAAGGCCTGGTCCAGAGCAGTGACAAATCTGGAATTCTCTGACCTATGCCAATCCAGTGCCTACTGCACAAAGGGAGCCCTTCTTACAAACTCACACTGAATATGAACACACATAGCATTAGTTTTGGCTGTAAGGGAAAAGTCAATGTGGAAAATATAATCTGATGGATAGGGCTTGAAATAAAATACATAATATGGCACAAGCTTCTAGGGCCTGAACTCTTACTCTGCAAAAGCAAAAACACTCTTTAGAAGCTAAGACTAGGACACAATGTGATACTGCAGCAAAAAGTCAGAGTAGCCAAGGGTTTAAACATTAACAAACTCCCTCCAATTTACTATGAATCACTAGAATCTAAATAGAGAGGAAAAGGTGGATCCGGCAGCAGTTTACCTTGTCTCCCGTGTGCAAAAATACTCTTCTAGTGCCTGGAGGCCTAGGAGACTGTCTTACAAAGGACTCTCTTACAGAAATGAAAAAGACAAGTCCTAGCCCTTGAGGAGTCTGTACCTGGTGAGGGAGGCTGGCAGGTAACTAAAACACTTGGCTCTGCATGGGAGGTGCCAAATTCTGAGTCACTGTAAAGGGCAGGAAGATAACTCAACCTCAGGGGTGGAAGAGGGTCTGCTGAACAGAGGTCAACCTATCTGGGTCTTGGAAAGACAGCAGGATTTTGAGAGGAGAATTTTGAGAGAGCCGCAGGAACAGAGGCAGCTCAGAGGCAAGGACAGGGTGTGGCCAGGCACTGGGCTCAGCTGGGCTGTGGCATAAGCTGAGCCAAGTAGGGGTTGGGTGGGGAGGCCTTGACCTCCAGGAAGGATGGCCTTGACTCCCAGGGCCTTTCCAGCATTTCAGATCTGTTTTTGAAATGAAAGCAACTAGTCCATGTGCATCAAGAATGAATCAATTGGAATCAGGGACAGAGTTGAAACATGAATCTTTATGTCTATATTTCTTTTTCTGCTATTTGAAAAAATGCTCACACATGCAAATCAACAATTGGCCTTTCACTACATCCAGCAGTTACCTAACCCTGAGCATAGATTTACTCTCTTCATTAGCAATGTTCTGCTGAGGGGGTCCCGCCACCCCTGTACTGTTGGACCCTATCAGACCAGGCCGATTTTGTCTCAGAGATTTTATTGCCTGTGTGTTCACAGCACATTGAAAGCTAAATTTAACTGCAAAAGGGTCATTAGTATCATCGCAGGTGCACAAGTCCTCAAAATTAACTATAATTTTGTTTCTGTTTTGTTTCATTTGCTGGGTTTCCTCAGCATATTCTGGATGCAAATAGAATTTAAGAAATAATTCTAAGGGGATGCTAAGTGCTTAGCTTTTTTAAGATCCTAAGAACACAATTGCATGGCTTGTTGGTAAAGTCAAAACTTTGTTGATGACAATTGAGACAGGAAATATCCAGCAGAGATGAACTATGATTATTTATGAAAGGCTGTAGCAAGAAATTATTCACTTCTTTGGGCAATTTCCACTTTGCTTGTGATTTAAGTCCTCAGAGCATATTTCATCTAGTTATTCACACAAAGTTAATGGTGCTTACTATGTTTTTGATAGTACAGCATGTTGAATCTGACTCCCATCTTCTTTTTCCTAATTATTTGTAGGCTTTCCTCACCCCAGTTTTATCTCCTTAGCACAGTCATTCTTTATTTCAGCAGGGAGGCAATGTGTAGAGTGTTAGATGTAGTTCTGGAATGTTCTATAATGCTGGAGCCCCTGTTTCGAACCAGGTGCTGACAGATTAATTTGTGTTAGTCACCTGGAGAAGTCTTGTCTAGAGAGGTCAGAGCTATTCTTTCCCCTAATTTAGAGCAAAGAGGTGGGAGATCTTGGGACTGTGACCGTTTCAAAGTGGCCTCCAGTCCTCCATACTGTGGTTTTGTCTCCTCAGTGCTGAAATCATTGTGTTTTTCCAGGTATCAAATTAAGAGAGAAGTAGTTAACTTTGGGACAGGTTGGTTGTTGGAAGCTTGCCTGTGGTGGTGATGGTGAAGAAAGTTCTGGCACCAGCGTTTCAGGAGGAAGAACAGATTTATGAGAGACTAAGCCAGAAGACAATCAGTTATTTCTCCAGCACATTTTCTAATTACACGAGAAGACCCGATCTCCTAATCAATGGATTTTAAAGGGCAAACAATTTCACCACAAGACTGAAAGCGCCCAACCCACAGGGCAGACTCTGTCATTTTGAGTCACAGGATTCAGAAATGGTGAAGAGGTGAAGAGATTGCATTTCCCACCACAGCACACACTGGAGCCCACGTTTCCAGGATGCCCCGCAAACAGTGCTCAGGCTGTATGGAGTTCTAATGGAGAAATCAACCTGTCACATAAAAACCTCACTATCAAGAGGACTTTATTAATAAACTTGGGGTGGTGGGAGGATAGTAGAGAATAAAACTAACACTTTCTGAGTAGGTATATGCTATCCAGATTCCAGTTACTCTCTCCATTATCCTTTTAAATCCCTAAAGATACTTCTAGGAGGCATTTTCCTTCCATAGTACAGAAAAAGAAACTAAAATTCAGATAAATAAACTCAGTAAGTTAAAGTCACACAATTAAAACAATGTCAAGACTACATATTTGAAAGTCCATCTTCCCTCCAAGGAAACACTCTGCCCAATTTTAACCTATAGCAAGTAATTCAGTATTAGGTGAACATTCTAAAAAAGAGAACTGTAAAGACACAAAGATAGAAATCCCCAGTTTTTCACACTCTGGTAAGCATAGGATTCTAGATTACTTTGGATAAGATACAAAAAAGGCATTACATTTGCTGTTAGAATGCACTCCATATTGTATTTTTGCAATAGAAATGGAAGTCAACATATCTTCCCTAATATCCTCAGGTAGGACCAAAACTGAAATTAGGCTGCAGGTGCTGAGCACAGTCCCTGATGAAAAGGTTTCCCAGGAGCTTATATAGTGAGGATCAACCTGGGAACAAAAGTTTTGTCATAGATTGCTATGGTAGGAGCAAAGTGCCCAGTGAGGAGGCGGACGTGGAGAAACAAAAGATTTCAAGATAAAAATTCATCTTTAGAACTTGTCAAATTATATACAGAAGTCTCCCCTTATCCACAGTGGATGTGTTCCAAGACCCCCAGTAGATGCCTAAACTCTGTGGATTATGCCACCCCTACATATGCTATGCTAATTTTAATTATACATACATACCTATACTAAAATATAAATTAGTCACAGAAAGAGATTGACAATAATAAAATATAATAGTCATACTGTAATGAAAGTTATGTGAATATGGTCTCTTTTTCTCAAAATACTTTGTTCTGTAGTCATCCTTTTCAGATGTCAGTTGACCATAAAAAACTGAAACCTGGGAACTTGAAACCATAGATAAGGAGGACCATTAAACTCTGAGAGTACATAGGCATGCTCCCCAGGGACTTCAGGGATGGTGGGTGCTCATGGCCCATTTTTCCCTTAAAGAAAACCTACCGAGATTACATCCAAGGATAGGACGTGTTTCCAGAAGATGCAGTTGATGTTATATCCCAGAAGGTAGGCAGCAAGAGAGTGGAACAGAATCTGCTTATACTCACCAGGTTCATGAGAGTTTAAGAAGAAGCCAAAGAGAGAGTTTGCACTTTACCAATTTTGTGCTGAAGTAAAATTTCCCCCATCATTATGAGAGGGGCTGGTTGTCTACTCTCTAAGGAAATCGATGGCCTGTGAGGATAACCTGGATCAGAAGCCACAGTGGTGAAGATCAAACACACATCTAGGTAAAAAAAAAAAAAAATTAACTATCATTTTCCCAGAACAGGAAATATCCCATCAGGTGAGTACCTACAGGAGATGACATTAATAGCCAGGTTTGTTTCATAGATTTGAAGGCCATTGTTTGAAATTTCTGACACTTCTTCCCACAGAGAAATTGCCAAAAATATGTCCTACATAAATCCATACTGAGAAAAGGTCAAGATACCCCAGTTTTTCTAAGACATTATAAACTTCAGACTCTTCATCTGTTACACGGGGATAAGGATACCTCTCTCTGCCCACCTCACAGAAGAACTGAAAAGAAAATTTAGGAAATGTGTCACTGAACAGATGCAAGGTGTTTTAGAACTACACAATTGATCAACATATTAACATATAGCATGGAATTAGTCTCAAAGTACAATAGTCATGTTAATGATGAAAAAAAAAACGAAAATAAATGAGCAATTTTAATGAGGAAAAAATATTTTGTGCCATTCTGAATGCTGTAACTGGAGGAAAAGAGAAAGAGGAAGAAGAAAGGTAGCTTTTCTTTCCTTTTCTAAATTCTATTATCTTCTAACCTGACATTTAGCTTGCTTATTGTCTTTATTGTATTGTATGCCTGCCTTCTCTGTGAGCAGGGATCTTGGATGTTTTTCTTACTGGTGGAGCCAAACATTTAGCACAGTGCCTGGCACATAGTAACGACTGAGCAAACATTTCTGGACAAGGTGATTTATGCTTTATTGATGACTCAAGGCACCAGTGCACATGCAGGGACTCTGCTGGAATGAATCTCAGGGCCATTTCCTGAAGCACAGGTTCCTTCAAAACCCTAGTGGCTGCTTTCTTTCCACCAGGGATATATGATCAGGGAACAAGTGGCGATTGCTCTGGAGGAACAGGAACTAAGGAGCTGGGATTTGGCTTTCTGACCGTGCCAGACCATGATTCACTGTAAAGAGTGAGAACACTTGAGCTGCCCCTTTGTCCACCTCACCTGCTCCTCTCCCCACTCAGTGAATGTTTCTATGTAACATATATGTATATATGTATACAACATACATGACACTGGTCATACCCCCTCTGTGCTTCTTTGAACAAGAAATAGCCACTTCCCTGCAGGTCTTCCTCCCTCCCGCCCTGGGCCTGTCCAAGTAGCTTCCTCCACAAGGTTCCACCCAGTTTCCTAGAACAGCTGCCTTTTATCACAGGCACTGGAGCTGGGGGCCGGAAGCAGGCAGTGGTGTGCCGTCCTCAGTGGAGAGGAGGGTGGGAAGAGTCCAGTGGTTGCCCACTCCGCAGGGCCACTTCTGGGTTCCAGGTCCACAAACTTGGTGAAGAAGCATGTATTCCAATGTCATTTCCTAACCAAGGTTTCTGATTCAACTCACTGGATTTTAGAGCCACCAGAGAGCTCAGAAATCAAGTTAAACTTCCTCATTTCAGAAATAAGTGAAGCCTGAGGTCACAAAAGACCAGCAAGTGGGAGGAAAAAGCCTTTGTCACCGTGACCATACCTGTGCCTGTAGCACCAGAAACGTCTAGGGAAGTCAATCTTAGACTTCACAAGAATGAACACTAGCAGTGTTTTGAGAGTTTCAGCAGAAGTCTGCATGAATTTGTAGGAATGAATCCGATTTTCATCATTTTTGTAATGTTATATCCAGATAAATCCAGTAATGGTTACTTGATTTATTTTTTTAAAGAACGATTCCTCTTTCCAAAAGGATTTCCCAGCAAATTACTTTGAATAGCCTATTCCCCCCTAGAGTATTTGAAATATGGTTTCATTTGCACACTTTGCTTAATCTCAACACATAAGGTACTCTTCTAAGGTGTGAATAAACTCAAAACTTCTTAGGTAATTCTTTTTTACAAAATTATTGTCTTTTTCCAGAAATGTGGTTAAGTTTTTCCATATTCTCATTTATGGGTTGATAAAGTTAGGATCAGGGAATATGAGAAGCACAGATTAAATAAAGTAAATAGATTAACCCTAAATAGATTAACATTTTTGTAAAAACAGGGTACAGGCTGGTACCAATTGAGGGAGTTCAGGGTTGCTTCTACAATCTGAATTGACAGATTAAAGCCAAGAAAAATAAGAACATTCTGACCATAATATTTGAGAGCTAAAAGGAGCCATGAAGATATATTATCTAGTCCAACTATTTCACAGTGTGGATAAGAAAACAAGAGCCCAGAGCAGGGGCTGATTGATCCAAGGTCAGCAAGGTCTGCTGCTTCCCAGTTGGGTTCTCTTTCTATAACAGCCCTTGCACTGGGTGGAAGGGAGGAATAATATATAGGGCAAGGCTAGAGGGGAGCATGGAATTCTCTGGAAATGTCATGAGCTCTTTCCAACCAATAGGAAAGCTCTCAAAGAACTTCTGTCAACCCCAGTTAGTTCTGACAAAAGAGTGAACGGATCTTTCAGAATCACTGGCATAAGGCATAAGCAAAGCCTGGGTAAGCAAGCAGACCTCTCTGGAAATTTTATTTTCAGGAATCATGGTCTCTACCTCGGATGGAGAGCAAACGTCCATGAGAGGAAGAGGGAGGTTTGTCAAAGCCCCTACCAGAGACCAGAATTATATTCCCGAGGGCCTTGCTTCTCGGTCTATGGTTGCAAGCCTGGAAATTTGTGCTGATACCTGAGAATATTTTGGGTTGCCACAACTAGGGAGGAAGGCGCTACTCACATCTACTCACATCTACCTTACAGAAGCCAGGAAGGCTGTGAAAACCAGTCTTTTACCAAACAGTCAGTAGCACCAAGGCTAAGAAAGAAGCATGGCTCTATCTACCTACCTTTAGTCAGTGCTCCCTTCCAAACACAAGACATCAAATAATTAAAGATTCCTCACTCTTTAGGTCTTTAGATTTTTAACATCCCCCACCCCACTCCCACCAAGATAAAATCCACATGAAGAGGAGGCAAGCAGAAGAACTGGAGGCAACAATTTCAATAAAAATACTTAGTGCTGAAAATATATGCGTAGGAGAGACTATTTTCCATGTACTTATATTTTCCCTGCTCTTGTTGTCATTCCACTATTCTTGGTAAATTTGTTTTCATTTTAAGTGTTACAAGCAGTTATTATGTATTCCAGGCAGGGCTCCCAAGCTGTGACAATTTAAATGAGGGAGACTTTTTTGTAGGAAAAAAAATGATAAAAGTATAAATGGTTAGTTGAAACATTGAAGAAAAGCTTGCCTCAGAGAGCAAAATGCTTTTTTATGTAGTCCTAATATTAATCTGAAATGAAAATGTCCTTCACTTCAAAAGGGTAAGATTTGGCAGGTATAAGATAGAAGAGGGCAAGGATATGTCCCCTCCACATTTAGAACTGCATACCTCCTGAAAAGACTTTGAAACAAATAGTATATAAGAAGCTACAAGCAATTTTTAAAATGGCTTAAAGCTTTTACACCTTCAGCTAAAAGGAACAGAATAGCTCACAATGGCAGTATGGAAGAATAGAAGGGACTCTGGATGAAGAATCTAAATATTTGGATTCTAGTTCAGGGTCATTAATATGCTCATGAGCTTAGGCAAATGATGTACCTAATTTGTGTTAGTTTATGATGATATAATAACAACACTTACAGTCCATAAAGGTTGCTGTGTGGTTCAAAGGGTATATAAATATCAATATATAACCTCCATTGTTATAAAGTATGGAACTTTAAACAGATTTTTTTAAAATAAACAGTTTTTATTTACATTACAGTTTTGGAGGCTGAAAGTCTGCATATCATGGTGGTGAGGGTCCCCCTTGTTACATCACTTCATGGTGAAGGGAATCGTGGCAGGAGTATGTGCTAGAGGGAAAGATCACGAAGACAGCAAGCTAGAGAGAGTCAGGGATCAGGCTTGCGCTTTAATAACAACTCACTCTTCTGGAAACTAACAGGGGTCCCTTAAGAACTACCTAATTTTTTTAAGGGCAGTGCCCTCCATGGCCTAACCACTTCTTACTAGTTCCCACCTCTACAAAGTGCCACCACCTCAACACAATCAAACTGAGGACTGAGCTTCCAGCCCATGAACCCATGGAAGACAAATCACACCCAAACCATAGCATCTCCTCATTGTATTTCTTTATATTTCCTACATAATGCCAGTGTCATCTATGCTTTTATCAGGATGATGAACAGCCACCACTGATAAACAACCTCAGGGTCAAACCTGGAGTTATGACAGATGAGTTCGGTTTGGTGTTTTTTTGTGTGTGTATGTGTTTTTTTTAAGTACTGGACTTGAACCCAGGGTGCTCTCCTTTTATATTTTATTTTTTATTTTTGTTTGAGACTCTCTAGGTTTCCCAGACTGGCCTTGAACTTTCAATCTTCCTGCCTTAGCCCCCCAAGTCACTGGGATTGCAGACGTACACCACCATGCCCAGCTAAAAGAGATCTTTTGATCTTTGAAACGTCACTTACTATGTACTTTCAATTTTCCTTTCTTTAAACCCATCTTTTTTCTGCTTAAGGTGAGGAATTATCAGAGTAGGGTAACTATGTTTCAAATAAATAAATGAAAAAATATCTTTACAGAAAATAAGTCATCACAAAGTATCATACCCATAAAGCAAAATATTGGAGCATGAGCTACAAAAGAGAAATCTTACTTTCTTGAATTTTCTGGAAAGCTTGAAAATGAGTGAAAATTAACAAGGCAAGGACTAGGATGCAGAAGTGACCACCAGTGGAATTTATTTATATGTAAAGTAATTCAAAATTTTATCAATTATTTTACAGCATTGATATAAGGCAGGTAATATATCTTTAGTTTGTAGTAGTTCCATGGCAGACTGGGGGTTGATATAAACAGAAAATTAGCATTAATGGGGTAAAAAGTAGCAGTAGATGATAAATCAGCAGATTAAAAAAAAAAAGGAAAACATTTGGAAGTTGTTATTTTCTTTATGTGTCTTTGGTATTTTTAATGCAGAATTTTTATGGGGGCAACAAAATGGTGGGTAAAGGGAAACTAGTGGATGTAATTTA